ACATCAGTTCCTAAAGTAGCTCCTTTGATAATTACAATGCCTGGACTAATCCCGTATTCGTCAGACAAAACCGTACCATGGAATTATGGAGGAGATGTCTACTATCACGGTATCAAGAAATATTGGCCAACAGCTGAAGATTGAAGTTATGGAAAAGTTGGCTCCGATATCAGTAACATCACAAGGACAAGTAAGATAACCCGAAGCGGAAGGGTTTTCTCTCCATAAATTGCTCCTCCAAAAGCTATTTCTGGACCCGTAATCATTCCTGTTGTTGTTGCTCCTCCAAAGTTTATTCCCAGTCCTACAATCATCTCTGCTAATACTCCTGTTGACAAAACTGTTACAATCCCTGTTATCACCCCTACTGACATTCCTGCTGCCGAGTCAACCGAGACTCGAGGTAAAGGTATCCTGATTGAGCCTGTCCAGATGAAGGCACAATCAGTGGCTATACCTGAGACCTCTCAGAAAGAGATGGAGGAAATTCTAAAGATCATAAAAAGAAGCGACTACAACGTAGTCGAGCAACTGGACAAACTCCATCAAAAATTTTGATGCTGGCTTTATTACTATATTCTGAGGCACATGCAAAGGCCTTGGTAAAATTCATGAAAACTGCCCATGTACTCCAAGAAACATCTGTCGATCAGTTCCAAGACTGTGTAGCCAGCTTGACTGTAGATAATGGTTTAGGTTTCTCAGATACTGATTTAACGCCAAGAGGGAGGAAGCATAATGAGGCATTGCATGTATCAGTTGAATGCAAGGGCACAACCTTGACTCATGTCTTGATTGACACCGGTTCGTCTCTGAATGTGTTGCCTAAAAAGGCTCTTGATAGGCTGGACTGTGAAGGATTGACATTGAAACCAAGCAACATAGTAGTGAGGGCCTTTGACGGCTCGAAAAGGATGGTGCATGGAGAAGTGGACATCCCCATAAAGGTTCGAACCCAAACATTTGACTCAACTTTTTATGTAATGGATATTCTCCCTTCATATTCTTGCTTATTAGGCCGACCGTGGATTCACAATGATGGTGCCGTTACTTCTACGTTGCATCAAATGCTGTATTATCCAATTCAAGGGAATATTATCACTGTTCATGGAGAAGAAGAATATATGGCCAGCCATCTAAATTCCTTCAGATATGTGGAGCTAGATGGTGAATTTATTGAAACTCCATTCCAACACTTTGAAGAAGTCCCGCAAGATGTGGCAGTGACCAAGGCTGTGTCTCAAGTTCCCAAGATCACAAGGCCTCCACTCAAGATGTCGTCTTTAAAGGATGCCAAGGCAGTGATAGAAGAAGGTGGGTGCACTATTTGGGGATAACTCCCAGATATCCCATACAAATCTGACAAGTTTGGCCTGGGTTTCACTTCAGGTGTCCAGAAGGATGTACGACGCGCTCGTGCTGAAGGACCACCCTTGAAGATCAGCAACCGCGAGGTCAACGCATTGGAGGATGATGAAGATGGCTATAACCTGGAGGATTGGATCTTCCCAACTGTCAGTGGAGCGCTCAGTAACTGGGAGGCCAAAGATTTTATCCCGATCACATTTATCCCACAATAATTTGTCTTTACATTTTATCGGATTTGTAATATTAAAATAATTCAGAATCTTAAAATCGTGTGTCTTACCCGAGGCACAATGGTCCATTTGTAAGAGTTATTATCTCATTTCCATATGACATCAATGAATCATGGACGTTTTTGCATACAAACTTTGTGCTCATTGTTTTTCTTTTTTACATTTTTCATTTCTTTCAAAGATAGTTATACTCTTACACACACCCACACTCACAAATGCAGGTCTACATCCATTCGGGATCCCATGGGTAACGGTTCTGCTATGGATTTTTATGACTCTGAAAATATAATCTACCAAGCCGAAGACGAAGGTGAGGAAGATTGTGAAGTACCAGGGGAACTTACCAGATTACCACAACAAGAAGAGAGAACCATTCAGCCCCACGAGGAACCAGTGGACACCATCAACCTAGGTACTGAAGAAGACAAAAGAGAGGTCAAGGTGGGAGCCAATTTGGAACCCAGTGTCAAGGAGCGTCTGATTCAGTTGCTACACGAGTATGTTGAGGTCTTTGCCTGGTCGTACAAAGACATGCCAGGACTTGATGCAGATATCATGGTACATTACTACCTACAAAAGAGGACTGTCCTCCAGTAAACCAAAAGGTCCGTCGCATACGACCAGACATGTCGGAGAAGATTAAAGCTGAATTCATGAAGCAATTCAACGCTGGATTCTTGTTCGTCACCTCCTATCGACAATGGGTTGCCAATGTTGTTCCCGTACCCAAGAAGGACGACAAGGTACAAATGTGCGTGGACTAAAGAGATTTGAATAGGGCAAGCCCTAAGGATGATTTCCCACTTCCCCATATTGATGTTCTAGTTGACAATACGACACAACACAAAGTGTTTTCCTTCATGGACGATTTCTCAGGTTATAACCAAATCAAAATGGTGCCTGAGGACATGGAGAAAACAACCTTTGTCACACAGTGGGGCACATTCTTCTACAAGGTTATGCCATTCAGACTGAAGAATGTTGGGGCAACCTATCAATGTGTCATGGTCGCTCTATTTCACGACATAATACATCACGAAATAGAGGTCTATGTGGACGACATGATAGCTAGATCTCAAACAGAAGATGAGCACCTTGATCATTTACAGAAACTGTTTGAGAGGTTAAAGAAATACAAGTTGAGGTTGAACCCAAATAAATGCACATTTAGAGTACGGTCTGGTAAACTCTTAGGCTTTGTTGTCAGCAATAATGGTATCGAGGTGAATCCTGCCAAGGTGAAGGCAATACAAGAGATGCCTGCTCCTCGCATTGAGAAGGAAGTCAGAGGATTCTTGGGACGTTTAAACTACATTTCCAGATTCATCTCTCACCTGACAGCTACTTATGAACCAATATTCAAATTGCTGAAGAAAGATCAAGTAGTCAAATGGAATGATGAGTGCCAAACTGCTTTCGACAAGATCAAAGAGTACCTGCAAGAGCCTTCTGTTTTGATGTCACCAGTCGAGGGAAGACCATTGATCATGTATCTGACTGTTTTGGAAAATTCGATAGGGTGTGTGCTGGGGAAGCATGACGAATCTGGCCGAAAAGAGCATGCTATTTATTACCTGAGAAAAAAGTTTACCGACTGTGAAACAAGATATTCACTGCTCGAGAAAACCTGTTGGCTCTGGCATGGGTTGCTCGTCGGCTAAGACAGTATATGCTGACCCATACTACCTTGTTGATATCTAAAATGGATCCGATAAAGTACATCTTCGAGAAACCTGCTCTCTGAGAGAATAGAAAGATGGCAGATGATCCTGACAGAATATGATATACAATATACTACCCAGAAAGCAATAAAAGACAGTGTACTAGCTGATCACCTTACTCACCAAGCCGTGGAAGACTACCAGTCCATGAAGTTCGAATTCCCAAATGAAGACATCATGATGGTAAACAACTGTGAAGAACTTAGGCCATATGACAGACCTGAACAAGGATCCCGATGGACTCTGGTTTTTGATGGGGCATCCAACGCACTTGGCAATGGTATTGGTGTTGTACTCATATTTTTCAACCTCCCAAAAAACCATTCAAGCCTTCATCTTCACCTCCATTGCCGACTCCACCACCAAAATCACCAGATTGGATTCCTCCATTCCCAACTCTTACACTTTTGTCACAAATACTGGAACCACCACCATCAGACCTGAAATCGGAGCTACCAAATTTGTCACCACCAACAGACCAATACATTTTCGCCACCATCGACGAAACCACTAGATTTTCAACAGTCAATTTCGTTGGTCTTGTGTTTCTTGCTGCCACATTTTCATTTCATGGAAAGAGGCAATTCTAGGTCAAAGAAAACTAGAGTTTTGTGGACTAGGCTTTTCAAATGGTAATTTAGCCCAAAAGAAAAAAAAAGGCTGAATGAATTTTTACAGTAACTGTTTTTCACTGTATTTGATTACGTAGTCTACTTTCTTTTTCACTGTGTCAAAAGGTTTTCTCCTACCACAAATTAATTTTGACCTTAATGTATGAGGTGGATTAATAAATGTGGCATATTTTAAGAGAAAAAACTCTTTTTATATAAAAGTTATTATGTTTTCATATTAATTTAGAACCTTGAGGAAAAGGATCAAGTGAATCCGGCGGCAATGATAGAGAGTGAAATTATGAGATAAATTAAGTTAGAATATTAATTTAGTAAGTCTTTTTTGTTAAGTGTTATTGGACTCCTTTTGTATTTGGACTTTTAGGTTTATTATCCATTGTGACTATTATATATGTAGTCTTTATGAGACATTGAAGGATAGGAATGAATTGAAAAAGTCTTTATTTTATTAGTTAATTTTATTTGCCTTTTTATTTCTGAGCTTTCTCTAGTTTTTTTTAGGGTTCTAGATCTAGCTTCTTAACATTGGTGCTTTCATTCTTGCACTCAAACTCTCTCATGGAATGTTCTAATTTTACACCCACATATCATCCATGGAGCATTCCTCCTACCTATCCTACAAACTCCTCTTTTAAAACTCCTACCACACCCTCATTTCCATAGGAAATTTTTACACCTTGTTACACCCATGTTGCATATTCATCACCATGTTTGTATTTTAATCATGGGTATACACCACGTCCACCTAATCCATATTCATATTATTCAACATCGTATCATTCATACTACTACAACAATTGTCACACACAACTACAAGTAACAAATACCTCCTCCACAATGAATCATAAATATCAAAACCATTCTAATATAGAAGAGATTTTGAGAAGCATTTGCAAGTATTTCATCCCTCTTTTAAGAAAACATCTCAAAAAACCATATCACCTACATCTCATTACCAACAAAAACCTAAAATTTTATATCCATAAATAGAAATCATCCAAAAATCAAAGAATGAACTTTTTGAAATCTCTCAAAAATCTGCCAAGGATATGAAGGAGAAATTTCAAGTGTATCCTCTTTCTCTCAAAGAATCTTCTCAAAAGTTTTTGGATATACAAAAATATTTGAGAGAGAAACTTCAAAGTAGTTTTGTCGACACAAACACCAAAAGTTCAACAGAAAAAGAAGAATCCGACGAATTCTTAGATTTACAAAAATCATCTCCGGTGACGGTGCCACTTCCGGCGACATGCCCGACGTTCTTTTCGGCGACAAATCTGACATCCTTTTTTGGATGGAAACCAAAATCAGACGTAGTAGCAACAATTTGTCAAGATCTAGCTCTGAATCAATTTGGTCTTGTGTTTCTTGCTGCCACATTTTCATTTCATGGAAAGAGGCAATGCTAGTTCAAAGCAAACTAGAATTTTGTGGACTGGGCTTTGCAAATGGTAAATTAACCCAAGAAAAGAAAAAAAGGCAGAATAAATTTTTACGGTAACTGTTTTTCACCGTGTTTGATTACATAGACTATTTTCTTTTTCACTGTGTCAAAAGGTTTTCTCCCACCACAAATTAATTCCGACCTTAATGTACGAGGTGGATTAATAAATGTGGCATATTTTAAGAGAAAAAAGTCTTTTTATATAAAAAAAATTATTATGCTTACGTATTAATTTAGAACCTTTAGTGCATAAGGATTAAAATTAATTGTTGTAAGTCTAGTGCTATATTTTCTAGTGGTGTCTACTATAAGAAGCATTACTAATTTTGTAATTATCTTGCGTTCCCCATGTTCACAGTTTAAGTAAAGAAGGAGGACTTCAATTTCATTATTGACAAGATAACCATGATATTGACATCTTGGAAAAACAAATTTTTGAATAGACCAGAAGTAATCACACATGCTTAATATGTTATGGCTTCCACTCCCATCTACTGCATGCAAAATACTCGGTTTCCAGCTAGTGTTTGCAATCAGGTAGATCAAAGTTTAAGGAATTTTCATACGAAAAGATAATAATGAAACAAATGTTCATTGGGTCAATTGGAATAAAGCTAGTCAACCTAAGAAACTAGGTTACTTAGGGGTAAGAACAACTCGAGAAGTTAACACAACTATGTTTCACAAACTGGTTTGGGATATTCAATCAAAATCCGAGAGACCTTCGGTTCACACGATCATGGAAAAATACATTGGAAATCATAAAAATGTGTTAACTATTAACAATATTAACAAAAAAGTTAATTGTATTGGAACAAATTTAGTTTGTCAACTAATCCTTGAAGTTTTGATAATATCAAGTATATTTGTATGGAGAATAATTTTATACTCAAACGATTTGTTTAAGTGCGCAGATTTTACTCATAGATTTTAGACTATGAGTATGCAAGTTATGGTCTCTGGAAAAATGTAGTTCTGAATTCTGAACAAAGCAATTTTGGATTCTAGAATATTATAAACACACTCTAAACCATGATGAAAGAAGTGTTTATAGCGACAAATCTGCTTCTATAAAATATCAAGTCATCTACTGAACAAAGACTATCTATATCGACTTAGATTACTCAAGAACTTGAAGACTCGACATTTCTCAAGCAGAAAAGACTATTTTGATCAAGCTTCATCTCAATCTATTAGAAGCCTCTGATTCAAGAGGTTTAATGTGAAGATAAGTTAGTAATTCTGTACTCTGTACAAGCTTCAATAAATTCTATCAGAAATCTCTTTATGAAAGATATTACTACAAAGGAAGATAGTGTGAAATTATTAAAATAATACAAATCATCATCATTTTCACTACCTTGTAAAAGAGGATAAAAAGACTGTTGTCAGTATCAACTTTTGCAAAATGTTACATCCTCACATTCCATGATTCTGCTATCGTCACTCTACTACTGAACTACTCAATGTCTCCATGCAAGTTGTGGTTTATGAAATTTCAAATTCACCCTCCAACCGATCTATTTTTCATCTATTTAAAGGAGTATTTGAAGCCATAGAAAAATAATGAATCATCAAGAATAAACAAAGTCAAATCTATTGAGAAATAGAGAAACACAAAAAATCTGAGCATCAACACAAATAAGAAAGTCGTTATCTTTATTGAAAGCTTTATAGCTTTCATTCTTTACAAATCTCATTGTATTGTAATTGTCTGTATCTGCTTGTTAAGAAGCACGTTTTAAACACAAACACTTTGTAATATTTAACTAGGTTGGTTAAGATTCCTTGGGGGACTAAAGGTTTATTCGGGATTCTCGAGAAGACTTAGACATGTTGTCTTTGTGGTTGTTGTAACGCCCGTAATTTAATTATTTATTTAATTAAATTATTTTTGGAATAATTGTGAAGAAGTATTATTAAATTGGATTTATTTTATTAAATGGAGAAATAGTAATATATTTGAGGTATTATATTATTATGTGAAATAATGTTAGAAGCTAATATTATTTAAGGTGGGCTTAATTGAGTTAGTGGAAGTAATAAAGGGGTGTAAGTTTGAGCCCAATAAGGAATAATATAACAATATTAGGTTATTTTATTATTTGTTGTTAGAATAGAAATAAGAAACAGTAGAAGGAAAAATAAGGATTGTGGAAACGTGAAGCTGCTGGTTTTGAAGGAAACGGCAAGAACAAAGATTCAACCCAGAAATTGTAGAGCGACCTTCGATCCAAGGTAAGGGTGGGGTTTTGGCTTTATAATTGGGATCATGATGTTTGATATGTGGGATTAGAGGATTGCTGTTTTTGTTATTGAATTGAATGATGTATGATGAATATTGATGACTTCTCGATGGATAAATGATGTTATGATGTTGTGTAAACGATGTAGTATTAAAGGTTAATGATTAGGTGATGAATTATCATGATTAGGATGAGGTTTGTAGGATTGTGATTATATTCCAGTAGTGAAAATACAGTAGAAACGCAGAAAATTATGCAGAAAATCGCAGGATGCGTCGACCTCAAACTGGATGAGTCGATGCATGAAGGATGTTTGACTCAGGATGAGTCGATGCATGCATGCTTGCGTCGATGCATGTTAAGTGTAAGGCTCAGGATGAGTCGACGCGAAGGGAGGATGCGTCGATACATGAGTGTGTGAGACTCAGGATGAGTCGACCAGTGCAATGCATGTGTCGATACATGATGTATTGAAAGCTAGAATGAGTCGATCCATAGAGGGATGCGTCGACTCATAGCGTGAAGAAGAAGCAGGATGAGTCGATGCATAGTGTTTTGTGTCGATGCATACTGAATAAGTTTGGCAGAATCAGTTTTGAATTGCTGTAATTTGAGTCTTAGGATGCTGTTTGAGATGCCGTTCAAAGCGTTGATTAGCTAACGCGATGAACTTTATTCTAGATGATTTAAATGATGATTAAGAGGTGTAATTCCAGTAACTAATTTAGGATTTAGGATTAATTCTCGTAGATGACTGTTGTGCTGTTTTAGGACAGATGGATGAATTTTGAGATGTTAGAGGCTGCTGTTAGAATTATGACAGTAGGATTAATGACAGAAACGAAGTAGAACTGCAGAATATCAGTAGGGATTACTGTAGTATTGATATACAGCTGAGTTATTAGTAAGATGTGATTAATCAAATGATGTTGATAAATAAGTAATGTTTAACAAATTACTTTGAGATGTTGTTGCTTGAGATGACTGAAATGTTGTCATTTTGATGATTGAGATGTTGTTGTTTGAGATGACTGAAATGTTGTTGTTTTGATGATTGAGATGTTGTTGTTTTGAGATGTGTTTTGAGATGTTGATAACTGAGTGTGTTATTACATTCATGTTGAGTCGCATACATTACATTTTTTTTGAGATGGCGTGGATTGGTAAATTTTGAGATGAAGGCTATGCCTTATTTGATGCCTCTATTAATTGGGAGATTAGATTTTTGAGATGGGAGTTCTTCTCCAATGATACCACATGCATTTGCATAGTTTTGAGTCGCATCATATGAATGAATAATGAGATGTATTTGATGTTGATGAATGAATATATATGCTGTAATTATTGTTGATTATGAGATGAGAAGTGGTGATATGAATGATCTAATTTAATGTATTGATTATCATACGCTTTATTATATTGTTAGATATCTCACCTCTTTTGTTTGAATGTTGCCCTTATGTTGGTAACGTGCAGATAATCGAGAGTGAATGTCGTATACCTTCAATAGATCGAGTCGGTGTCATTGCTCTGATATGTAACACTCGGGGGGATGAATGCTTGCTAATTTTTAGTTGTTGAACCTTAAATTGTTTATTCATTAAACACGAGATGTTTCAAAGTTGCTATATTATTTAAAGATGTTATTGAAGAATTCCGCTGCGTAGTCGTTGAATATTTAATGAAAGATGTTATGTCGTTAGTTCATCCGACATTTTGAAAAAGTGTTATATATCCATGATGTATGCAATGAATTTGTTAGAAGAATTTGTGACGCCCCGATTCATTTGTATGATTGAAATTTTATAACTCTGATGTATCTTGCATATTTGCTTGGGGTAGAATTGGGGTGTTACAAAGTTGGTATCAGAGCAAAAGGTTGGTCCGACCTTGTCGTCGAGTCTTAGTTGTCTAACAATCGAGTATTGTTATTTTGAATTCTAACAGTTGTTTGTGTTGTAGTAATAAGTTGAGATGGCTGGAAGGAATGATGCTGCTCTTGCTGCTGCTTTGAAAGTAATGGCTCATGCGATGGAAAATCAGCCGAATGCTGACGAGAATGCTGGATCTCGTAGCTTGGCGACTTTCCAGAGAGAGAATCCACCTACGTTCAAGGGAAAATATGATCCTGACGGAGCATTGGAATGGTTGAAAGAGATTGAGAGGATCTTTCGTGTGATGGACTGCACTCCAGCGTAGAAGGTTCGTTATGGGACTCATATGCTAGCAGTCGAGGCTGATGACTGGTGGCTAGAGACTTGCCAGAAGTTAGAAGCTGCAGGTGAGAATGTCACTTGGACTGTGTTCCGTAGGGAGTTTTTGAGAAAGTATTTTCCTGAAGATGTCCGTGGAAAGAAGGAGATTGAGTTCCTTGAGCTGAAGCAAGGGAATCTGTCTGTTGTGGAGTATGCTGCCAAGTTTGCTGAGTTGGCCAAGTTTTATCCGCATTACGCTGAGGAAAATGCTGAGTTTTCAAAGTGTATTAAGTTTGAGAATGGGTTGCGCCCGAAAATTAAGAAGGCAGTTGGATATCAGAAGATCAGTGTCTTTGCTGATTTGGTTGATAGTTGTAGAATTTTTTAGGAAGACAATAATGCACATTACAAGATTATCAGTGAGAAGAGGGGTAAGCACCCGCAGAGTCATGGTAAACCTTATGATGCCCCAGCTGGTAAGGGTAAGCAGAGAGTTGCTCATGGTCAGAGGACTAGTGGGAGAG